ACTGGGCTTGGGACCAGCTTGGGCGGTATATAATTTATTTATAAATATATAAATATTTATATATTTTCCAGTAGGGATGTAACGATTAACCGCGAGCCGGTTGAAAATCGATTAAAATATGTGACGATTCAAATCGGTTGAGATGCTAAACAAATCGCGATTCAATTAGGGGTAAGAGTTTATATGAATGCATGTCTGAGGGGCTTGTTTTAAAATTTCAATTTAGTTTTGTTATTTACATTTACATTATATTTAAATGTAGTCATTTAGCAGGCGCTTTTATCCAAAGCGACTTACAAATGAGGACAATAGAAGCAATCAAAACCAACAAAAGAGCAATAATATGCAAGTGCTATATTAGTATATTATTATAGTGTTATATTTCAATTTCACAAAGAAACGTGCATAATTTTGTCCCAAGCAATAATAAAAGGACACATTTAATTTATAATTTGTCTTAAATCTCATTTTGTAAAAAAAATGTTAATCAAATCGAATTGTGAAATCAAAATCGTGAATCGAATCGTGAGTTGAGTGAATCGTTACATCCCTATTTTCCAGTATTTATAAAAAATATTTAAAATCACTATATCTTTGGAATGAATGGAAGAAACATATAATACTTTTTTTTTTCAAAAGCAGTGAGTATGTTGTATAGCCTTCTTTGGAATGCAAAACTAATGCAATTTTTTTTGGTATGCTCTTGCTTAACAGACAGCTACAGACATGCATTTGTGTACTTATCTTCAGTTCTTTTCAGGCTTACAGACCAAAAATGTATTTCAAGTTAGTATTAATTGTTCTAATGCTTTGCTTTTCCATAAGAATGGCTTGTTTTGCAGTATTCGTAAGGTCAAAGCTGAGCAAACATCACATTTCCTTCTTAGGAAGTGACCTTGAAGTATTGTGACATGGCCTTTTGTGTTTCTCAATGTTCTCTGTCTTCGATTTGTCTTGTTTCTTCAAATTTGAATGGCATATCTTAAGAATCCAGTTTGGGCTGTTACTTCCTGACATGTCAAAACAAAGTTTGTTTTTTCTTTTGTGAAAGGAGAGTATTAATGAAGCCTGTTTTCCAACTCTCTCCTTGCCCTGTAGTAGTTACTGTCATAGTTTCTGGATATCGTACCATCAAATACAGACAATGAGTGTCTTAAAAAAAGATTTGGGAACCAAGATGAAGGGTGAGTGTGTGAGAATGGGAACACAAAGGTCCTGATTATATCACATCTTTTTGAGACTGAGTGAATGGTGATTGAGACTGAGGAAAAGGAGCTGACAGCATCATCAGAAAAAAAGGTGAGATTAATGAGGAAAACAGGAAAAGGAAGTCATTATACTTAGAGAATCAACAAATGTACTTCCAGAATAACACTAGCCACAGGCCTATATCTAAACAAGTGCTAACATGCAGTTGTTTCCTTAAGGAGCTATTTCCACTTAATCCGACCCTTAAAATCACATTTATTAGTGTAGCCTATAGGTTGATTCTGTAGTATTAAATAAATGTTTTTCTTATACAAAAATAGCTCTTGTAGGCTAGTTTGATAAATATCACAATTCATGATTGATATTTAAGCATTTTAACACAAAAGTAGAGAAAGAGGTTGGTGTGTGTACACTGAAAATACAAATGTTATCCTAAAAATATACTTCATGTGGCAACATCTAAATTTTTTATTTTATTCAAGTTAAAAAATATTATTGAACATCACTTGATCAACCTGAACACATTTGGTCACACCAACAAAATCAGTAACAGTTGCAGGTTACCATGTTACATTATTGAGTAGAGCAAATCAAATGTACGTGTTTGGACCTTCAAAAGCAAAGATGTTGCTGTGTGTTCAAAGGACATAAGTTACAGAAAACAGTCTCTAGAGAAGAAAAAAAAAAACTAGAGGAAAAATCTGCTCACACATCCCAGCACCCCTCCTCCAACTACAGCTCCGCCTGCTGTCTGAGAACATATCCCTCTCCTCCCTTTCTCTCTCTCTCTCTCTCTCTCTCTCTCTCACTGCAGCTTTTCTTCTCACCATTACTTCCATTGTGGTTCAACTCTGAAATCTGGCATCATCTGTTTGTGCTTAAAGTTTGCAGCATGTGCCCTGACTTTCCTATTCCTTTTTCACCCTTAAGGTGTGGTCACTTTAGCAAAATTTCAGTTGTCAATAGTGTGGCGATGTGTAGTGCATAGCTAACACAGAAATTAATTTCAAACCAAGCAGCTTTCTGATGGTTCGATCCGTGTGAACAGTATGAACTCTTTGGGAAATTTTGCACTCTCATCCGAAATTTCTTATGGTGTGGATTTCGGCAAATTTTGCGGGCAAAAAAGTTCAACTGTCTGTTGTCAATAGTACTGTGATATATGAAGCACAGCTCACACAGAAGTCACTTTGAAACCAAGCAGCTTTCTATTAGTCAATGTGATGAATCCATGTGACCAACTTAAACCCATTGTGAAATTTGCTTTTGGAAATTTTCCAGTTTTGGTTGAAATTCCTTATTGTGTATATTCCCATTGAAATTACTGGATTTTTCCCCTTGAAAATGAGCTGAAAGAGGTCCGCACTTTTACCCCGTCCACTCCTTCACTTCCTTTTCTTACCACCTTTGTCTCATTCTTCTCGTACTCTTTTGTTCACAGTCCTCCTTTTCCCGTTGTTCTCCATCATACTTTCCTGTTTTTTTTTTGCTAATGTCTTTTTTTTCCATTGCTCATTTCCTCATGTGACATGCCCAGCTCTCTCTTTCTCTCTCTCACTCCCTCTTTCACTGGCCAAGACCCAGATGTCTGCTCTTCGAATTAACGGAAATAGCAGCTGCATGTGGCAACTTTATTTGCACTCACACATGAATTCAATACTCTTTCCGAGACTCGCTTGCGCTCAGACAGAGATTCAGACAGTGGAGTCAGTTCCTTGATCCAGGGGGCCAGTAAAGCGAGATAGGGGTCTCTTTAGTGTATTGTGTCATAAGACACAATACACTGATTCCACAATACATTGATTCCAATTGCTTACAGGAAGCACCTGGCCTAGAAATATCCTTACAATATTCTGCTTATTCACATCAGTTATTTTTAGACTACATGAAACTTGTCTCTAACTTGTTACACTCTTCTCAGCTAGTCAATAGTAGAAGCAAAAAGAAAGTGGTTTGTTTAAAGAAAAAGTGAAAGTGTGATAGAAGGAGAGTTGGTGTGTATTATGTAGCTGTTCAGTATGCTAGTCACATCGTAGCACTCCATTCAGGCCTGTCACACTGAAAAATGGCCTGGTGGCAGTTCCTTTAGCCCCTTACCCATCGCAATTAAGTAAATGGAATCAGGACTCTGTCAGTCCCCTCCCACACCACCCCACACTGCATTGATTTTTTTTTTAAATTCTCTTGCAAGGGAATGGGCACAGTCAGTAAATGACAGCAGGACATTTAGATGTTTTAAAAACAAAATTTAATTATGCTCTGGAGAATGAGATTGTGTTACCAGCAGCATTAGAGTTAGAAGTGCCCTGGGTGTGTCTTTGTGAAGGCCAGAGTATGATAGAGGGGGCTGGAAGGACAAGATCAACTGAATTTGAAGAAGAGATGGAGAAACGAAGACTCCCAGAGCAAGGAATTAAAGTGATTTTAAACCAGTGATGCTGAACAGTTCTTTGGAGTGTGCCTACAATATAAGTACAATATCATGAGCATGCAGACTCAATCTTTATTTGTTTATGTGCATTACATTGACAATAGTTACGGGGTTTTTGACCAGCGAATGTGTGCAAATGTGCATTTCGTCCGTCATTAAAACGGCGGCGTTACGTTTTCATCCCCAGGTGTTTGTTGTAGCTATATGGGCAAATACCTTTCATTAGCTAAATATTTGTAAAGCAGACAGACAGATGTAAAGGGTGACCAATATCATTGATTTATTGAAGGAAAAAAAAAAACACCATCACCAAAAAAAGGGCACTTCGGAGTGTAAGGGCAAAAAGGGCATGTGCTCTGCACAGGTTGAGCCCTACCTGTGCACGTGCCTGGCTGTATGTCCAGTATCTGCTCTGCATGGAGTGACTGACAAGAGAATCAGTGAATTGATTCAACCTGACAAAACAGCTTTCAGAACAGTTCACAACATTGGATTATTGTTTTGTTTTTTTATTATTTTGCTGGAGAGGATAAATAATGTAGCTAATGGTGTTAATAAGCGAAACAAAACATTTAAATAACAATGGGACAAAAAAATGATAAAAAATAATATACAGAAGCTAACACGCAAGAGTGAACATGTGTTGCCACAGTGAAAGATACAGTTGCAGGATAATTAATGCTCACTCATTCTGCGTGCTGAGTCACAGCGATTTCAGTGTGTGTATGGCTGATTGTTTCTTAAGAGTGTGAGTTCCTGTTCTTTTTCTCACTGTCTCTCTGTTCGCTGCCATTTGAACATACACACAAACACTGCTGCTGCACCCTAAGGCCAACTGGGTTTGCTATTGTTACAGCAGTTATCATTCAGCCTGTGTGATGTAAACACTGGGAAATGAGTTTTCTTTCCTTCTTTCTTTTTCTTTCTTTCTCTAAGAAAAAACTATGGAGTATTTAACTCTTAACTTTTTTTTTTTTTTTTCTCTTTTTTTTCTTTCTACCAGTGCGCGTCATGTTACATAAGATTCCTGATTTGCTGTTGACTTGATGCTTTTTTTATGTGAATGAGGGAATGGAAACAAAAAGTTAGGATGACTTCCAAATGTTCTCCAGTTTTCCTTCAATCTAAAGTAAACTTACCACCCCATTAAAGTGAGCACATAGTGCCTTCTGCTGGTCACGATGAAGTACTGCACCCTCTGTATATTTAAAAAGCATTTAGACTGGATGACTCGTCAAATATAGTTTGGTTGTTCAGTGTAATTAAGCACCTCTTTATAGCTCACTCTTTGATCCTAGTTTTGTTTAGGGATCTTGGATTCTCCTTTATGATAACACACATCATGCTTTCTTTCTTGTAGGTGTCTACATCTTGATTGCTGTTGGTGCTGTGATGATGTTTGTTGGATTCCTTGGTTGCTATGGAGCCATACAGGAATCCCAGTGTCTTCTCGGAACAGTGAGTAACAAATCCTGGCCTCTCAGCAAATTCCTCAAATCACATGATGCCAAACAATAACCGGAAGTATATTTTAATGGACTGACTGTAAAACCCCACTGTAAAAAATTAAAAACTGTTCAGTTTATATGGCTTCTTTGGTTGATTTCTTTGAATTATTTTAGGTATTCACTGAACTTGTTAAGGTGCCACGACTTGATTTTATGTCATTATTTTTACACTACAGTTCAAAGGTTTGAGGTCAGTAAGATTTTTTTTTAAGAAATTACAGTTTCCACCAAAATATTAAACACAACCATTTTTAAGCATTTAAATAATAAGAAATGTTTCTTGAGCTTATTTATTGCTTTTGTCACTGTTATTGACATTGGCAATTCATACTTATTGGTGAATATTTTAGTGAATTTTAATTTCAGTAACACAGAAACTTAATCCACATTATTGTTAATTCCAAATTCAGTGACAGACTCGTGACCATATACAGTACACATCCCTTTTCTTTCTCTGCCACAGTTCTTTGCCTGCCTGGTCATTCTGTTTGCCTGTGAGGTTGCTGCTGGAATCTGGGGATTCATGCACAAAGACAAGGTCAGTTTCTCTGACGCACATGCATACACATTGTCAAGCTGACACATACACATCTGTTTACATATTTGTAATTATTCTTGATTTTTTTCAGATCTCCAAAGAGCTGATCACTTTCTATGACTCTGTGTATGACAAAGGCGTGTCAATTGCAAACAGTGAGCAACAGCAGGCTGCCGCTACTGTCTTGAAGGTCTTTCATGAGACTGTAAGTAGTCCTCACATTCTGAGGAGCACAACATTAATCAAGCTAACACAAACTCCTCTCAAACCAAATAATAGTCCAGATGTTGTAAAGACATATTTCTAATCACTGTCATCTCTGATTTTCAGCTTCACTGCTGTGGCAAAGGAGGCATTTTGTCAGTTACTGAAATGTGGATCTCAGACATCTGTCCTAAAGATATGACAATTCCTGAAGTAATAGGTCTCCCCTCAGTAAACCCTCATATTGAAGAATTCTCATCCAAATCATCCCACATAGCATGACAATAACCTGTTTCTCCATTTTTCAACTCGGACAAAGAAAGTATGTTTTCAGGCTTAAAATTATTTAAGTTGTCGAGCACTACATTACTTCTTACACTGTGTGCCATTCAAGCTCAATTGGTGCAAAACTTTATATATATACCGGGTTCCGTGGGTCAACAAGTTAAGGCTGGAATACACTACACGACTTAAAATCTGAACAGATTTTAAAACGATAGGCATCATACACTAGCAGACTTTAAAATTGTTCTGATCACAACAAACTCATGCAGAAACGTGCGCCTTGTTGCAAGCAGATGCATGGCAAATGAAAATCGGCTCAAAATACCAAGCATGTTTGACATTCTCCGACTAGTCTGAAGCTAAAAATCATACACTATACACTATATTTCTATGAAGTCTTGTCAACTTAAATCTGCAGACTGGCTCTGACTCTCGGCTACTAGCTAACTTCTCTAGAATGTAAATCGGGGCAAAAATCGTGTAGTGTATTTCAGCCTTTAATGTCAGTCAACAGCACTTGGAGCATAATGTTGGTTTCCCACCAAAAATATTTTCTACTTTTTCAAAAACAGCAACAATCTGGGTTACAATGAAGTAATGAGGCCAATTCGTAAACATTAAAATACTCACTGTTTAACATGATTTTAGCTTGAAAACTTTTCTATAGCATTTTCTTTATAACTTTACAACTTAAAATTAATTAGAACAACTTCGCAGCTCAAATAATATGCCAGCTTTAACAGATGCATTAATGTAAGCGCTTTATAAAACGGCACATTTCTGCTTTTTAATTCTTCAGAAAGTTACATCATTCATTTTAATTTACGTGTCTCACCGTAGCATTGGTTTTTTGCATTTTTCAAGTGTCAAAATTAGTTTTTGTGGCAACATTATGCCATAAATGTTAATTGAACGTAACCTGTGAATTGTATTGAACCTGGAATATTCCTTTAATGGCAGAAAGGGCACTGATCTATGATCATTGTGTTTCTTATATGTGAGATCACATGGATGAGAGAGCTGATCCTAGATCAGCATTCTTACTGTGTAAAGCCGTAAGCCTAGAGCTCCTACAATCTACAATCTCTTTATGCTCTCTTAATATACTGTAATGTATTTTCCTGCATGGCCATCATTCAAGGAGTTGGACCACATGTACAGTCACTGAAGTCCTGCCCCTCTTTACAATGATCCAAGCCATAGAGAGGATTCATACATACCTACTAGCCTTATAAATGAAACACCCTATCCCTTAATCACTTAGCAAATACAGATTGATTCTCAATGGAACCGCATATGTTATAGCTGTGATGTGTTATATCACTTGACTGCAAAATCCAAGGAGTTTGCGTGATGCATGTATGTAGCCTATGTACATGTGTGATATCTGTTGACAGTGAGTTCAGAAGGACAGGCTTGATTGGTTATAGGATTGACAAGCCCTTGACTCTTCACTGCCACAGATGTAGTTGTTGTAATATCTTGTCGCATTCACTAGGTGGCGCTCAAATACTATTCACTTTGAAAACTGGTGACTACACCTTTACTATGTCTTGTGTACATGTCTATCGTGCACTTATTCTTCTAGACCACACTAATACGAAGCGCCCTCATCCCTGATGCATAAATACCATCAGATTCGTGATTTATTACATGCATTATGCAACCCTGTCTTTTTAGCACATATTGCCTATGCTGATATGCTTAAAAAGTGTCTTGTAATATGTACAGCTATATAGTATACTAATTGCCATGTAAAGACAATGTATGCCTTTAATTGTGATAACTTTTTTCTGGTACTTGTAAAAAAAAAATGCAATGATTTCATTTGAAGCATGTATGAATTTTGGGGTTCCTGACAAGACGAGCATGATCTTCTAACTATTAAATATTACGAAGGCGAAACAGTTGTTTATGAAATTAACTGTTGTAGTTACAACACATCAGGGTATTTGAACACTATCAAATATAACTGTTGTGTTGAAAGTATCTCATACTCATCTGATGCCCAAATAGACAACTGTAACTCAAGCTGTCTTTACCCTGACACACCAATTATAGATTTTGGACTGGTTTTGTTGCCCAAATATATAGGAATTGAATGTATTTTACAAATAACATCTCTTCATTTTGTTCTTTTGTCTACATTATTCCCTTGTTGGTTGTAAATAAGAGATCTAAAAGTTCACTCCAAAAAATAAGAATGTTGTTGTCATCAAATACCACTGATCCTCATCATACCCTTTTTAAAGAATGGAATTTACATTTCTTTGTATAAAGAATTCAGAATCTATTTTCATCATGAATCATGTTTTGTGCATCAGCTCATTCTTCTGCTGTCAGTCATAAAGCCTACTGTTAAAAAACCCTAAACTTTTTTGGGGGTTCATTTTTTCTTTTTTTTTTTTTTTTTGTCATTCTCAGTTGTGTCCTTTTTAAATTACCTCTAAAGATAGATAGCAAAGGTGTAAAGCTACAAAAACATTTGTCAATTTCATTGTTGTGGTAGTGACCACCCTGGTGAGTTGCTGGACTGCTGCATTGGGTGTGTCTTCTGAACTATGGGCCTTCCTTTGATTGAAACTAAAGAATTTGGCAACTCATTTCCAGCAGTGGATAACGCAATCACCAAAATAATACATTCATTACTGTATGAATCAGTGATCTTCTTATTGTTTATATATACACAGAAAATAATCACATTTAAACCAACTCAACTGAAACCCCCCTCAAACCTCATACAGCCTGTTGACTAAACAGTTTGCACATCCTCTCCTCGAAGTGGGATTTTTGGAACCCTTCATTCTTCCTCCTATCTTTTTTTTTTTTAAGATTAACTGAAGTTCCTGGGAGGAGAGATGATGCAATGTCAGTATTTGGGTGGGTAACAGACATTTTAAGCTACTCCTCTTTAAACAGAATAGTTAAAGACGAGAGAAGAAAGAGAGACGAGCAAGAGGGGCTTATAAAAGGATATTGTGAGGCCTTGTTCTCGAAAACCAACAAAGGAAAATGAAACAAAGAACATATCAAACAATGAAACAGAGGTCTTCCGCATTAGTGGTGAGTAATTCTTTTTGTCATGTTTTTCATCTGCTTAATTTCTGTATTCAGAAAATATATTGATTTATTTAGATTCCTTACAAAAATGATGTATCTCTTTTTTGTAACTCATTTTTGAAAAAGCTTTCATGCTACGATGAAAGAACTTGGCCAGTTTTAAAACATTTACATTTTATGAATTAGAACAAATGTATATATATATTATACAGTATTTAATACATATATATATAGAGAGAGAGAGAGAGAGATAAGGAATTCAACTTTGCATACCATATCAAAAAACTACCATAGTAGCCTTTATGTTATTTGATGGTAAAACCATGGTAGCCTACTTTAAAATATATGCCATGGTCCTGAAAGTTTACCATATTTAAACACCAATTAAAGTTTGCACAGAGAGAAGCATAATGTCCCACATCAATATGTACCATATCAAAACCATGGTAATACCTTGAAACTTTGATATATACCATTTAGCATATTCAAGCATCATTCACTAAGAGAAAATGGTATGATGTCAAAAACATGGTAATACCATGAGACTTTTAGGTGAGGGGGGTGACAAAACAAAGTAGATATTTGTTCACAGCAGGCAGACCCAATCTGCACAGCAGAGCTCATATAACCTGGGGCTGATAAATGCATATCTCAGTGCTGAGAGCATAGTGAATGAGAAGGCCCCGCCCCAGCTACACAATCTCTGTATCTATTGACGACAGTAGCGCACAGCTGCCTACGTAGAGCTGGACAGATCATGTGTACTCGGCGCTGTTCAATTGACCTGCGTCCGGGCAAATTACTTTCAGTTGATATTGGGATTCTTTCAGAGCAGCATTCACGGGGGGGGGAAAGCATAGTTTCCATCGGAACACGGATTTCGGATCATCTTTTTCGACGCGCTGAAAAAAAAAGTTTGGATTGTGTAATTATTGGAGCGAGTTTTCAGACTTCATGATGAGTGCTGTTGTGGCCACTGAGGGCCTGTTCTTTTCCGCCTTGCAGCCAAGCACCTCGGTCACCACATATGCGATCCCAACCGATGACCATCCCAGGAGGGATCTGCTATCTAAAGCCAGACGCGTCCAGCAGCAGGTCCAGCAGCGCATGGCGGAGAAACCCTCATCCTCATCCTCATCCCGACTCAACGCCTCCACAGGTGAGTAGAACCTGTTGATGATCCGTTAACCGGAAAACTCTGACGCCATGTAGGCTACACTTTTCTAGAACGTGCAAATAAGTTTTTAGTAAAACTTTTTAAACTTGAAGTCAATTACAATGCACAATTTGACACATATTTCAGGTTACATAGTAAATTAGAATATACAAAATTTTAATGTTAAGAGATTTTTCCCCATTCCCCTAAAAAGGTTATAACTAGCTTACAAATTGATGTTTAAATAAGTAAAAGAACAATTACATTTTTATAAACATAGTAAATAAATGTAAACTTTTTTGTTGACTCTTTAATACATTTTTCCGAATTTTTGTTTTTTCAAATGTTAAATTTGCCCAAATTCTTGTATTTAAAAAAAAAATAGAAATAGAAAGCCAAGGCTTATCAAACCAATAGTTATTTAAATACACAATAAAATGAACACTATCATATGTCTAATTCTATTATATATTGTTAAGTTTAAGTAAGCAATCTGTCAGAAATGTATAAGCAGAACATTCCTACAATAGCCGAGATTGTGAACACAATAGCTCTGCGTGGATTTTGGGTGACACTGATAGGATTTGTTTTGCATCAGAATGCAAATATCTGTTTGGTCTTCATGTTTTGGTTACAGTCATTGCATTTCCTACAGGCGCGCACTGGTTTTCCAGCATGCTTGTTTTGTTGCTTTGTTAATAAGAGACAAAAAAAAAAAAGACTTTTGTGTGTGTGTTCATGTGGTCATTTCATTCGTTTTGTTTTGCATATGGCTGTATTCTGCTGCTGGGAACCCCCTAAAACAGGACACTGTAATTTGCAACAACTGATATCCTGACACTTTCCTGAAAACTGGACAATCATGTTGGCCCTCATAAGAATGAAGTTAAACTTGTAAACGTTACATAAGCTCGTATGAATGGAAAACTGGCCCATTGTTCTATAATGAAACCTTGACAAAATATATAGATGCTTTCAAATGCAAATGTGTAAAATGGATCACTCAGCACATGTGATTTAGAGATGTATGCCATTGTGAGCAGTGTGTGTGTGTATGTTTGTGGAGGAGGAGTGTAGATAACCCGTGGGAAAGGTATCACTTTCTTCCCTGGCTTAGAAAGGCAGGTAGAAATGAGGGCAAACCTCACCTCCCCAACACCCCATCCCCACTGCCCCGTATAAATACAGCTTTCTCTTGTCAAGAAGGTGGCTGAAATATAACTTTACTAATGCTTGACAGAAGCACTTAAGTCAAACATTATATTAAAAATTAAAAATTAACAGGAATAGGAACCTTAGAAACTTAGCTAATAGTATAGTATCGTACATCTAGATGTATGCAGATCTCATGAAAGTTAGCAAAGTATGTTTCTTTCTTAATATTTCACTAAAGTTGTGATTGCAAATCAAAGTCTGATTAATATGAATAGAAACAACGATCCTAGCATTTGAGAAAATCTGCCAGGAACTATAGCTTTTGGGATGCCTGTCAGCAAGAGGAATGTTAGGCATTTAACCACTGACCCTATTGTTGACCCTAATAACAATAAGTGACTTGGAGAACTGCATCTGGTCTATGTTAGAGCGCAGTTTGGACATGACCTTTTAAAAAGAAGACAAAATGACCCAGCTGCTTATATATAATGTTTCAGAAAACATTTTATTTATATATGTATGTATGCATATATATGTATGTATGTATGTATATGTATGTATGTATGTATGTATGTATGTATATATATATATATAGTTTTCTAAGAACTGTTTGCTGAAAGGCAGAATGGTTCTTCTGTGGCATCACTGCGAAAACCTTCTTGGAACCATTATTATTATGTTTTTTTTTCAACTACAACTTTCTATAGAAAATATACTGAAGAATAAGTCAATATATATGAATATATATTTTAGTCATAGTTTAGTAGTAATTTTTGCATGCAACATGCACACATTTCTTTTTTTTTCTTTTTCTTTTTTGTAGTCAGCTCACACATGAGCTCAGTTTGACCTGGTCTGTGACACATTCTTGGTCACACCTCCATGTACTTTGCCGAAGAGTTTCCTGCCATTTGATTTGGTGTTTTATCAGTAGGCCAGTTCTATTTGGGAGACTTGAATGGGAGGATGTGTGATGTTAAATACTTTCAGAAAAGAATAACCCTGAATAAAGCAGTTGTCTTGCTTTGAAGGTGCATTCATTCGCATGTAACAGCCAACTGCTGCTTTGCAATTATCCTTAAAATATGGTGCATAGTACATGCTATTTAATTGTCATCAAGATTTATGCTCTGTTTCTCAGATTTTGTAACCAAGTTCCCCGGGAATGTAGGGATTGCATGGGTTTTAATCATCCTGAGACTCATTCTGGTAATTTATTGAGCATGTGAAATAAGAAGCTCACATCTCTCTATCAATACCAGCAGCAACAACTTTTTAATGTTGTTATTGTACATGGGTTTGTATGGAACATTTTAGATGGACCAGCCACATGACTCATGTGGTCATTGGACAGATTTGCCATGCTTTTTGTAATTGTTTTTTATGTATTCATTTTTCATTTTTACATTTCACAATTGTTTTGTAGAAAACATATTTAAAAAAATATATATCTATAGTCTAATAATATATGAATTTAAAATCATCACCATCATTGTAGGTATCTATCAATACAGCCTGTCTATAACAGTTATATTATGTTATTTAATTAATTAAGGTGTTCGTATGTACTCTTAACTCACTGAAAAACAGGAAATGAGCAAAGACACGCAAGTCATACCATGGCTCTCTAAAACAAAACAGATGTTTCAATTTTAGAAGTAATCTTCCCCTAAACACATGAGTCCTTAACCATCTTCAAGAAACGACTAAAAACACATCTGTTCCACCTTTATTTGACCCTCTAACTCTAACACTTTCTATTCTGTTTTAATTCTACTTTATCTATATTTATCTTCTTTTTTATTTTTTATTTAAAACAAAAAACAAACAAACACCAGCTTTCTATTTTTTCTATTCTATCTACCTGTTTTTCTTTGTGTGTGTGTGTGTATGTGTGTGTGTGT